CTCGGTGCATGGGTGGATGATGGAGGATGAATGGGTGAAGGATGCTGGGTGTGTGGGTGGAGGATGGAGGATGAATGGGTGGAGGATGCTGGGTGTGTGGGTGGAGGATGGAGGATGAATGGGTGGATGATGGCTGGGTGCGTGGGTGGGAGAATGGATGAATGGCTGGAGGATGGCTGGGTGTGCGGGTGGGAGAATGGAAGGGTGGATGATGGAGGGATGAATGGGTGGAGGATGGCTGGGTGCGTGGGTGGATGATGGAGGATGAATGGGTGGAAAATGCTGGGTGTGGGGGTGGATGATGGAGGATGAATGGGTGGAGGATGGCTGGGTGTGTGGGTGGATGATGGAGGATGAATGAGTGGAGGATGGCTGGGTGTGTGGGTAGGAGAATGGAGGATGATTGGATGGCTGGGTGGACAGTGACAGAGGGAAACACAGGCTCCTCCTTAGCAGCTGGTAGACTCAGAGTCCCTGTGGCTGCCTTTCCTCTCTCTTACTCCTAGTGCCTCCTCCTGGAGACTTGCTCCTGGGTCTGACCCATGTGAGAAGGTGTCTGAGGAGCTGTCCTGTGTCCAAACTCCTGCCCTGAGTTTCTGGACCCTCTTCCCTGCTTCCCCAGCCCCGCCCAGGCTCAGGCTCACCTGCTCAGGGTGATATTGGTGCTTTGGTCCCGCTCCTGAGACAAGACGTGGAAAATCCAGTCCTGGAACCCAAGAAGGCGGCTGCAAAAGTTGCCATCTGCAGCATCCCTCCCAGTCATGGCCCTGCTCCCTGGGGGAGGTAGACCACAGCCCTGTCCCTTCCCAAGGCCCCTGGGGGAATCACAATTTGGATGGGGAGCAAGAGGATGGTTGTAGTGGAAGCTGTGGCTGCTGTTCTGGGGAAGAAGGGACTCGGGTCTCCAGACTCTTCCCCGGCGGGCCTGGCCACCCTGTCTGGCTCTTTCCCACCTCTGGTCCTCATGCTTCCTGCTCCGTCTGCCTGGAATCCTCCTCAGCTCTGCCCATGTTGACTCAGCCTCTGCCTCCAGGTGTCAGTTCCAATGTCACCTTCTTAGAGAGACCTTCCTTGACCACGCTATCTAACGTGCTTTCCCAGAGGGTGGGCATGGTGGCTCATGCCTGTAATCCCAGCATTTTGGGAGAGCTGGTGTGGGAGGATTGCCTAAGGCCAGGAGTTCAAGACCAGCCTGGGCAACATAGCGAGACTCCATCTCTTTAAAAAGTTTAACAATTAGCCAGGCCTGGTGGCATATGCCTGTGGTCCCAGCTGAGGAACACAGCTGAAGCAGGAGGATCACTTAAGCCCAGGAGTTCGAGGCTTCAGTGAGCTGTGATTATACTACTGCACTCCAGCCTGGGCGACAGAGCAAGCCCCTGTCTCCAAAAATAAAAAATAAAGTAAAAATACAAAAATAAAGTAGTTTCCCCCAGTTACTCTCTCCCATCACCTGTTTGTTTATTTCACAGCCATAATCACACTTTGAAATGATTTTATTTCTGTTTGTGATCTTGGCCTTCTCCTATTAAAAGGATTATGTCTGTCTAATTCTGTGTTGTGTACATAGCACACTGCCTGGGAGAATATTGGTGGAAGGAAAGAAGGAAGGAAGGAAAGAAGGAAGCAAGGAGGGACGAAGAAAGGGAGGAAGGAAGAAAAGAGGAAGGAAGGAAGGAATGAAGGAACGAAGGAAACGGAAGGAGGGAGGGAGAAGGAAGGAAGGAAGAAAAGAAGGAAGGAAGAAAGGAAGGAAGGACAGAAGGAAGGAAGGAAATGAGAAGGGAGGGAGAAAGAAAGGAAGGAAAGAAGGAAGGGAGAAGGGAGGGAGAAGGAAGGAAGGAAGAAAAGAAGGAAGGAAGAAAGGAAGGA